GCCTGGATTAGGATCTGTGCCGAGCTCTGCCAGGGATTTGCTCTGTGACATCAGGCAACCCCCACACTCACTCCGGGCTCTCGGTTTCTGTGTCAGTAAGTGAGCGTTTGGACTAAATGGTTGCTTGAGGCTCTGACCAGTCTTCAAGGCCCTAGGTTCCCAGCCTTTCTTAGCAAGGACCTAGGCAGAGCTGTCATAGATGCAAGCAGGGAACAGTGGGCGAGGAAGGGGCCTCAAGAACAGCTGGGGGAGGGGTCAGATTGCAAGGTTGGGCACAGAGGGGCAGCTCACACCCTGGAGAGAGGGCCGAGGACAGTGTCAGCCCTGAGAGGGACAGGCAGCTGGAGGACAGCGTCAGGTTGCCTGACAGGCCTGCCGGCGGGAACAGCTGGGGGAGTGTCTGTGGTCCTCACCCTCCCTCTATGTGCTCAAGGCGCCGGCAGGGCGAGGGGACCCTGGCTCCGCTCAGGCTTCTGGGCCATTTCCCAAAGACCATCTCCTCAGTGAGGCAGGAGGGACCCTCTGAAAGAAAAGCTGGTGACACTCACCCGCATTAGCCTGTTAACAGGTGTGTGGGTGGGGTGGCAGGAGAGAGGGCCAGCTTTGAGTTCTGGAATCCCAGCTCTGTGCTGCTGGCTGGGTGTCCCCCAGTCACTCCCTGTCTGAGGTTTATTGTAAACATGGAGAGAACGTGAAGGCCTGAGCAGTAGCCGTGTCCACTATGACAGGCAGGAGAGGAGCCCTGGGCTCCATGCTCAGAGGAGACCCCCACCCAGCCCCATAGGACACACCCTTTCCTGCTCCCAAGACCTCAGGCCAGGAAAGGTCTGCCCAAAGAGACACTGTCACTGGGGACAGGACTTGCGATGATACAGGCCCAGAGTGCAAGGTGCAGCCCGCGCCTTCCCCACCCCCACCTTGGCCACATCTGCACATCACCTTAGGTTTGCCATCCATTGCTGGCATCTCCACGGACACCCTTCATCTCAGTCCCTACTCTGGACAACACTCCTGGCTGTGGCTTGCCCGGAGTGTTGAGGGAGCAGCATACACACCCGTGGATGCCCAGCATCAAATGACATACTTCAAATATCTATGTGGCTTCATGTTTTCAGGCCTGAGTTAGGGTAGCACCTGGCCACCCCCTAGAGTTAGAGTTCCAAGTTCTAGGATGTCCCTCAGCTTCCTCAGAAGCCCAGGTTGTTCTCTGGGGTCAGGGGCACCTGCACCACACAGTTACTGTGACAAGGAGGCCCCACCCCTGTTCCCAGAGGAGTTGAAAGCAGCAGCCAGAGTCCAGAATGCTGCACCCCTAGAGCAGGCCCCACTCATCTCCTTTTGATCTTTGTTGAACTAATGTCGCCTGAGCCCCAGCTCAGGAGGCAAGGCCTGAGGCCCAGGAAAAAAACAGCCACAGCCACCAACCAAGGTGTCTTCAGGTGGTGCGTCTTCAGCAGGAAGGCAGGAAGGAAACAGGCTGAGCAGGGTTGCAGGGGGCCACCCCCGGGCTCCAGATGGCATCCCAACCATGGAAAGGAGTCGCACTGCCCCTGGTCCTGCCCCAGCAGCCTGGCAGATGACCAGCGATGCCTGTCAGGTTCTGACCATTGGCTGCCTGTACCTTACCAGGGGCCAAGCTCAGGGGTGAGGGTTCCATTTGGGTGCAGCGCCATTGTGTTTCCCCCAAAATGAACTGAGCAACTGATGTGCCTGCCGCAGGCCTCAAGCTGCTGGGCCCTGGCTGGCCTTACCTTAGCGTGCAGAGTTGCAGCCACAGTGGCCGTCCATCAGGTACCTAGGTGGGGGCTGGCCACCAGGCTAAAGTCTGGAGGAATTCCCACAACCACCCCATGGGGTGGCGCCTGTGGCCACCCTGCTTTACAGTTGAGGAAACTGAGTTTCATGTCCAAGGTCAAATGGCTAAGAAGTGATAGTGTTACTATTAGACCGGGTCTGTCTAGCTCCTGCACTTAGCTGCTGCTTGGACACCCCCACACCCCCATATTGGGGTCTGTTCAAGAATTCAGAGGAACCAAGGATAAACAGCTCACAGCCTTCATGAGACCCCTTACCAGGCGCTCCAAGGGCCACCAGGCCTTGGGGGCTGGAGGAAGAGAACTTGCCGGCCCTCACAGATCTGCTCCCCCAGCCCAATGAGGTTACATGAGGGAGGAGCAGAGTCTATAATGTGACTCTCCACTGGGGACATGGTTAGGAATGGGACAGGGGCCTAAGGAGAGCTAGTCCTAGGGGCTTGAAGGGGGCAGCAGGACTGCTACATTGCACAACAATAGGGAGCATCAGGCACATTGCAGCTGTGCAGTGCACAACCTGTGCTGCTGTACAGAGCAGCTGGGGAGGTTGGTAGCACTAGGAGTTGTAGGAGCCATCAGCATGCTCAGTGGTGACACTAGCTTTCCTTCCCCAGGGGCAGGGACTGACTGCAGGCCTGTAAGCCCCAACACTCAAACACAGTTGACGGGCCAAGTTGAAGGTCCAGTAGAGACTCTAGCCATCCCTGTTGTCCCTGGCCCTAGCCCGGGCCCCAGAGAAAGGGCCAGGCTGCCTCCTCCCCCTTATCCCTGGATCCTGTTCCAGACCCCAGCTGGCTTCCTGGCTGGCTGCTAGCCCTGGCTTTCACCCCAAAGGGAGCCACTCGTAAACAGGAAATGCTTCTCAATGCAATGCCTGCTCAGGGCTCCGTTGCCAGCCCACAGGCTGAAGGCCATATCCAAGTAGCAGTGTTGACTGGTCTCACCAACTGTGGGGGAGGGGATGCTCATTGGGCTCCCCAACCCTTTGGGGCTGCTGGGTTGCCGAACCTGAGGCAGACAGGCTCCCTGAGGTTGAGTTCACCCAGCCTGTGGCCCTGCCCTCCTGTGCCTGGTGCTGCCCGCCCCCCAGCAACCCCCACAAGTGCTGAAACACTGATGATGGTCCTTTCTGCTCCCTCTCCCCAGAGACAGTCTGAAGGCAGCCCCCAAGTCGCAGAAAGCAGACTCCCCCAGCATCGACTACGCAGAACTGCTGCAGCACTTTGAGAAGGTCCAGAAGAAGCATCTGGAAGTGAGGCACCAGCGGAGTGGGCGTGGGGACCACCTGGACCGAAGGGTTGTTCTCTGACAAGCCTGGCATGGAGAAGGGTCCAAGGAGTGGTCTCATGGAGCCTTTCCCAACAGTCCGAGGACCTAACTCAAGGGCAGGGCTGGCCCTGGCCACCAGCCCAGGGCAGGGTGGGGGGACGGAGGCAGCTCTGTCCACCCAAGCTCCTCTCACAGCCCAGCCCCCCGGGCCCCCAGTGTTGTCAGCTGCAGCTGCACCCCAGCATTCAGACAGAGCTGGCTTCCCACCAGGGTGCCGCCACAGCCTCAGATACCATCTATCCTCTGGAATCGGTCTCTTTCTAATACCCTCTTGTAAAAGAGCTTTACCTCCCCAGCCCACCAGAGTTCTGGCCTCGTGTGATGTATGCATACATCATACCTGTGTGCACATAGGGACCAGCACAGAGGTCCATATGAATGATGCGCCCCCTACCCCAATAAAGAAATGACAGAAAACCCTCAACCTGTGCCCGCCTGTTCCTTCCCACTGGCACCTGCCGCTGCCTGGTGCTGCGGCTGCCCCAGGACCTTGCCAGCTGTCCTGAAGACCTGGTCTCATAGTGGCCCCAAAGAGTGCTGGCTGTGCTGGGAGAGGCTGGTCACTGCACACTGGCCTGCCTGGAACCCTGAACCCTTCCCAGGCACCTAATCTGACTTTTCCACCAGGATTCCCCTGGGGACAATGGGACATGTCCCCATTGGACAGATGACCGTTTCTGAATGAATGGTCATTGCACACTGCAGATCCCTGGATGAAAGGGAAGGCCCAGACTTGTGCAAGGAGGAGAGAGTGAGCCTCACCTCACGGCACCTGTAGGCCTGGGACCCCCTGACCCTAAGCTTAGGGAAGCCTTGGATTGACCTAACGAACTCCTAAGTGGCTCTCACAGCACCAGGGGTCGGGGAGGAGCTTTTCCCTAGAGCCCCAGCATCCCCAGGAGTATGGGTTTCCCTGCTGGAGTCCAGGATGTCAGGCTGCACTCGCCCTGGCCCACGCGCACACAGTACATTTCCACACCTGTGTACCCAGGCATCAAGGACTGGGGACGCGGCCCATTTTTGCCCTGCTGGTCCAAAAGTGCCTGAGGACCAGGATACCTCCACCCCCAAGTCCTGGTCACCCCACTTGGAAAAAGAACCCAAGAACTCTGGAGAAGGGTCCGAACTCGTCACTGCCTGGGATGAAACCTCTTAGGGAGGGTGGCCCCTGGGACACCCTGTGCCCCTGCTGTGCGTGGTGTATGTGACCTGCGGGATGCCCCCCGGAGGACCCCAGCCCTCCGCCCGTCCGCTGAAAGCGCGGGAAGCCCCCGACCGACCGGAGACCAGAGGCTGGAAGGCGGTGGTGAGCCCCTACACGGGGGCGGGTCCCACTCCCGCGAGGGAGCCGGCGTGCTCCGCCCCAGCGCCGCCCCCGACCCGCGGTGGCGCCCTCGCCTGCCGCCCGGCTCGCCGGACCAGTCTGGCCGCGCCGGGTTCGGATTTCAAAGCCGTGGTGCCTGGCGGCAAATGGGCCTGCGCCCTCCCGGCAGTTCCCAC